TTCAGGTTCAACTTTTTTCTTTCTCATCGAACCGAACCTCATCTTACAAGGTCCCCGCGACTGGGAAACCGTGGGCCCAATGATGTTTTCAAGACCCTACCCACTAAACAAGTCCCCTGCACTCTTCGCCCAAGCGTCCGATCCCCTCCGAGGTCAGAACCCGAATGAGGTAAGGGGATTACCGCGGTCAACACTACAACCAGACGGCATTCAGGTTCTCCTACGGATACCCAGTCGAGGGGGTAATATACCGGGTTATGTCGAAACCTACGGGTGGTTAAAAGCGTTCTTAACTGCACATTGCCAACCAAGGAGGCAAAGAGATACAAGCTGCGTTTGAAGAAGGACACGCAACAAGGTCATGGTTGATACAAGTGGTATCCCTCACCAAAAAACATTAAAAATATATTACTAAGAGACGTATTCTAGCGTGGGATAGTAAAACACTCAAATCGAATAGAGCAATATGAAGATTCCAATTCAACTGCAGACATCTATTTCTACCATCAGTGCATTACCTTCACCATATTTCTTTTCCAGTGTTCTTCGTCTCCGAAAACGACGATTACTACCGAAACTACTACCACGAGGCCATCCAGAATGCCATAGCCATGGTGGACCAAGAGCTCCAGGGTACAGACTCTAAGGACCAATATCTGGACAGGTTCAAGGAATTTTGCAGCGAGGAGACTTTCTTTAAAACCATGGTGGAACTGGTCGAGCCTTGCGAACCTCTGGGCGTGATATGCCACGGAGACTGTTGGACTAACAACTTTCTCTTTCGATATGAAAATGAGAATATTGCGGAGGTGAGACCCCCTGTTTTAAGGTCTCAGTGTAGTTACAACGGCTGCCCCACCCTTCAAACCGAAACGCATTACTGCTTCACGGCAGAAATAGGCGGGGTGGTGGTACCTACCCGCGCGGACTCACAAGAGGTCCTACCACCAGTAACGATCTCTGAAAGTTAAATTTATGAAAGTCTCATTAATTTTCCGTATGAACAGATGTGCATCGTTGACTTCCAACTGGTTCGTTACGCGTCTCCAGCGTTGGACCTGGTATACATAATGTACCTGTGTCTGGAGCGACAGCAGCGAGCACTCCACCTGACCCCCCTGCTGCGGTACTACGCCGACCAGCTGTTCTGCAGGACAGCGGAGCTCAGTGACGGGGGTGTGGTGTGCGGGGGCGTTACCAGTGACGTGCTTTTTCAGATGTATGTAGTTAAGCTCTCAGCTTTAAGCGTGCTCATCGGGAATTTGCCAACTGAGTTCCTCGCCGAATCTTCGCAGTGGGTCGCCTTTCCGATCCGGTGGTAGATTCTGCGAAGCACTCCTCTTGCTAGGGCCAGTGTTAGCAATACCTCCTGGTTTGAGCCCCGAGAGCTCAGCTACACGTTAGAATAACGCTGATATAGCCTCTCAAGGCTATCAGCATAGGTAGGAAAAAAAAAGGAATTAATCTTATTTAATTATTGCATAAACTTCTGAACTCACGGCCTGTCTGTTAAATTTCCACTATAGCCCATAGACATCTTAAGGTGCATGCCGTCATCAACTTGAGACATGAGCTCAAAGTCTCAAAAGTCTGTCTGATTTATTTGTCGTGTATTTTTCACTCGCGCACTAGTAATGAGTTCCAGTTTGAAAAGCAGCCATTAAACTGTACTGTTTAGATCTTATAGCTTTGGGTGGATTGCTACATTAGACCTGTGAATCGGCAGTAAATTTACAAACCGGGTAAACAGTTGACAGTAGTCGGACCCGGTCTGTCCATTTGGTACAATAACAGCAAGAAATTAACTTGCGACTGATCTGATCGTCGTCCTTCGGAACAGGCTCCACAAGGACTTCAGACAGAAAAGTCGCTTCGGTCTCGGCATAGCGCTGGACATGTACCCCATCACGACGTGCGACAGTGACGAGGCGCCCAACCTCTACTCAGCCGAGGTGAGTGGACAACAACTCTCCATCCCCGCTCGGATGCTTCTTTTAATTTTATTGCTCTTGTAAGTAGACGAGCATACGGCCCACCTGATGGTGAGTGGTTACCGTCGCCTATGGACGTCAGCAATGCCAGGGACAAACTAAGCCGCTGCCTATCTTTGTTAATAGTAAACAAGTGTTGGTTAATGGGCTCTGTAGACTTTATCACATTGCCAACACTAATTCAAAGCTCCATCATAGGTAGGTACCACCACCCTACCTATTTCTGCCGTGAATAACGGTTTTTTTTATCGTCATATTTGAATTTGTCCGGCGATGTAATCCACACATATCTGATTATAAATTTCATATAGTAGCATCTTCCTTCCTTAAGCCTGCTATATTCGAAGGCTATCTACAGTGTAAGCGACATTTATGCAAATTTCCAGTAGAGCTATTTAAAGTTTAGAATTTGGAAAAAAATATCCAAACAAAAAATCTTCTTCAGCCATTTGAATGGAGTAATTAAGTTCAATTGAAAATATCGAACTGTTGATGCTAATCTATCTATCTATATATATAAAAATGAATTGCTGTTCGTTAGACTCGCTAAAACTCGAAAACGGCTGGACCGATTTGGCTAATTTTGGTCTTGAATTATTTGTGGAAGTCCAGGGAAGGTTTAAAAGGTAGATAAATATGAAAATGCTTAGAATTAAATAAAAATAACTATTTTGTTTTTCCTTTGATGTGCTCTCCATTGGACGGATTCTTTTTCTTGTTTTAAGTTTATTTTACACCAAAGTTTAGGTTTTTTATTTATCGATTGAGGCATTACGAAGTCTGCTGGGTCAGCTATTACTAAATAAAACGCACCTTTAGTTATATAGATAAATGTCGCGTGTTAAGCGAGATGTCGCTTTAACCAATTAGCCTTCACCCCTCGATATGTTGTTGGCAGGACTCCGCCGCGTGTTCCCAGGGCTCCGAGCCGGCGCCGGGCGCGCGTCCCGTGCGGACCTCCAGCGCGGCTTGCCGGAGAAAGATGACCGATCTGGTCAAAGAATTAGTCGACCAAGGTCTTTTGTAAACTATACAAAACATGATTTTAATCTCTAGTAAAATAAACCGTGGTATTTTATTTTTAATTCATGTTTGAAGCGAAACTTGAAATGAATTTTACCTGCAGCAGATTCGTTACGGCTAGAGAGAAAAGATATAATTTAGGACAAGCGAGAGTGAGAAAATAGACAGAGCGTCTCGCGACCACTCGACCGTAGAGAGAGGGAAATCACAAAGCAAGCTAGATCGTTTCTCTTATACACAGTATTCCCTATTACAAAAGAAATTTTATTTAAGGATGAAAAATGAAGAAAACCACGGTAGTACAGACCGCAAAAGAAGTTTCCCTTCTTTCACGTGCACCAAGTCGCACGCTCACCGTTTTTTCTGTAGTATTGAGAGAGTTTGAAGATATTTAGATATTTTTTTATATGAGTGGACGAGCTTGCGACGCATTGAACCACTGAACTTACAATTGAGACATGAGATCGAAGTTTTTTTTATTACTTTTGTAGACAGACGAGCATACGACCCACCTGATGGTAAGTGGTCACCGTCGCTCATGGACGTTAGCAATGCCAGGGACAGAGCCAAGCCGCTGCTTTAATTGCACTGCCGCAACTGACTATGCCGACTGCCTCACGACGTAAATAGTCAAAATACAAGACACCCTACCACCAGCCACCAGCTAATGACGTTCCCTCCTCGTGACGTCGCTGGCGGCACACTCTTGGGGAGGCGGAAAGAAATACGAGTCTCTTTGGATACATAATTTTATTGTATTCTCTTTTAGTACATAAACACGTACAATGAAAACAACTGTGTTATAATATACTTAATTTAATTGATATTCCCTTTATTTATATAAAATTTATTTGTGACAATAATATAAGCTCTCATTATAGAACTATTCAGATCATAATAATATAAATAAATGTATTTAATGATAATACTTAAATTAGTAGATAATTCAATAAAAAAATGAATGACTTCAATTATTTGGAAGTTTATTGAAATGTAAAGAAATTTTCAAATAAATTATATGAAGTTTTCGCTGAGAAACTTTTTTATTTTGTTTTAGGACATGATTCTCTTGGTTTTTCTGTTTTGAAATATAGCGGGTTTTTTTTTTCAATCTTTTATTATAGCAATCGACAGACCTATCGTTGTCCTTTTACACCTATTCCAATCGAGTAGGTAGGATAAGGACAACTGCTCCAACGAGACGCCGAGAACGTCGCGTGATTGGTCAATTCAAATTTGTAAATTCGAATCTTTTCTGACAGTTGTTTTCAAGATGGAGTTATTATAAATTCCCCTGAAAATCTCTTTCACAATTTCAAATGGCTTCCCAAAGAAATAACCTTTTTAATTTTAATACCCGTACAAATTCGTGGCACTTTTCTCGTTTTTTTTTTTTTTTTTTTTATTAAATTAAATACGTACACGTAATAAAATAAAATAGTAAAGTACGGGTCCTATGCCAGATCTTAAAATTAAATACAAAACTTACACAGTAATTCAGTCATTGAAAACTTCAGATTGTGTTGAGATTCTAACGCGTTTTACATCTGAAATTTCCAATAATATATTTATGTATATAAACCTTTAAGTCAAAGCTGCCAACTGTCAGTTAAAATTACATTAGGCGGTGTACGCGCACAACACATTCTGATACCTGAAATTTTATTGATCGAATAACTATAGTTAACTAGAGGTCCCACAGTAGTCGAAATTCGACTATAATTAATTGGAATTGTAAGTTTGTACTCATACTATAATCACAAATTTCACCAAGGCTACACTAGGTATAAAAAAATATTAATAAAGACAAACAATATTTAATCTATTCTCAATTTGACAACAGACGTCAAGAACAAAAGTTTGACAATAAATAGTATGCATTCGTGTGTGCGTCAAATACATGGTAAGTGGTGTGTGTAGTGTTTTTTTTATTGATTTAATGTATCTTTATGCATTACTTAAAAAAAAAAATTAGCATTGTGCACTTCTTCTCTATATTCTCTATAAGTGTGGAAAATTTCCTATTCCTCCGTCCGCGCAATTTTCGTAAAAAGGGATACAAAGTTTTTGCTTCACGTATTAATAACTATAGTTAATACCGCGTACACTACATTGAACTTTTTTTCTATATTGAACTGCCTCGAGTTTTACAACGCTGTTTTTGTACTGTCATTAAAGAAAGATCTTTGGCGGGAATTTGAACGTTTCTTCAGCTCTCGATCGCAGTTTTCGAATCATAATGGCGAATTATTGACCGTTAAGTGTTTAAAAAAATTCAGAAAATGGCTGAATTTTATAGGTTTTATTAAATGAACACAGGCTAAAAGGTCGAGTAGCCGACGGCCTTAAACAAAAGTAGGATGAAATGAGTTAGTGACAATGATGAAATGAGTTAGTGTTGCCGCGTGTCGAATCTAATGTAATTATTTACCTTAAAAATTGGAATGATACGAAGTTGGCAACCTTTCAATAAAATTATTAGTCGATTATTCTAAAATTCAAATCTTCTTCGTATAAAAGATCCACTCGATCTTTATATGCACCTTGTAAATTATATTTGTGAGTACAGATGTTTGTTAAGCACCAGCTTTATCAATGGAAATGTATTTATATATTTATCTCCATTCGCTTTAGAATTATATATTGGCGTCATGCGATAATCACATGACTATATTTTTGTCTTTTTTTTTAAAATAATCATGTATATATTCCTTTTTAATATATAGACTCCTGTGGCATATCAGATGTATTTTTGCCTTTTGATTGTTCGTTCGATCGACTTGAAACATGTTACCCCAAATCTCCAGTCGTGTTGTTTATTTGACACTGGCTCTAATAACCTGTTGCGGCGTCAGACTCCCTCTTCCTTTTGAGGCTTGGGTCGGTCTCATGAACCCTGATGTCTTAGCTGCAGTTTTCAGAGGAGGTCTAGCAGCGCCTACGGAACTGCCGCTGGAAGAAGAACGGGAAGCCGGCATTCTTGGTATCGGCTTCGGTATTGGCTTAGGAGCTGGCTTGACTGGCGCTGGAGCCTTCTTCACGGTAGCCACTGATACAGAACTGTTCAAGGAACTTCTGGAACTCCTCAATGATGTTCTGGAAGTGGACCTTTCAACCCTCAATGAGCTGGTTCGTTTAGGTACTGCGCGCTTCGGATCGATGGGAGTTCTTGGAGGGACTTTCATGTCTTTGGTGGGCACTTTCTTTGGGATCACAGGAAGTTTCGTGATCTTGGGGACGGGAGAGTCACACTCTACGTTGCATCCTGATGAGGCTCCCTGAGACGCGCTCTCCGAGTTCAGGCTTTGAGTTTCTTCAAAACCTTCATCATTTAATTCGTGTTCGCTTTTGACTTTTGGTATTTTGGGAGATGTGGTCCTTTCATTCGCTTTCTCTACTCTGGAACCCACAGTTTTTCTGTACGCGTTCCTAGACCATACGCCCGTCGGACTTTCTGTTGGAGACTTGAGTTCTCTTATCGCTTTCTGGACATCCTCCTGGTTTATTGAAGTCTGCCGCCTCATCCTCGAATACGGTTTGGTTTCTTTGGTAGCAGTTTTCTCCGTACTGTGACTTTTGAGTTTGTCTTGCCAGCGTTTCAGTCTGCTCTCCTTCTCATCTTTTACCATTTCTACTGGTTTTGGCATGGGAGATGCTTCCACGGGATAGGAGGTTTGCACCTCAAGTTTGGATGGCCGCATGAGTTGAGTTTCGGCGACTAATTCGGAGGGCTCAGGCTTTTTCTCGTCCTCAGGAGAACTGGAGTCAGGATTCCTCTTGTATCTCCTCGTTCTTCTTGCTGCCGAAAATCTATCGAACTGTCCGTCTCCCAAGATTTCTTGGCAAAGGTCTCTCATCTCTGCTGTGGCTTTCTCGTTGAGGTTTTTCGTTGGTAGTGACGTCTGGAACTTCCGGCATGGCTCTTTCTCTGGAGGTGGGTTGAAGAATTTTCTTTGAACTGGTGGAGTTTCTATATTGTCTGAATCTATTTCAATTTTATCATTCTTTTCTGCTATTTCTGGTTTTGCATCTTTCACTGTGGTGATAGTGATGTCGGGTAGCTTTCGTTTCTCTTCCTCGGTGATGGAGACCAGAGGTTGCGGCGACTCTATCTGCTGTCTAGACCTCTGTCGTCTCAGTCTTCGAACTTCTTCGTTCTCTTCTATTTTCCTCCACGGTATCCGCGTGTCCTTCGTTTGAGGCTGAACATCTGTAATGTTATTAGGTAGTTCTTTCATTAAAATGTTCTTATTAATGACTAGTGCTCGATCCGGCTCCGCTCGGGTCTTTAGCAAAAATTTTAACGATATTTGACGTTGTATTATTTTCTTAAATAAAATAACACTTATTGCGGCATAACTATAATATTTGGACATATGCTGTCGCGACAATTTTTGTAAATAATAATGTGTTCTACAAAGTCGTAGTACATTATTTTATTCTATTATGAATAGTTTTCGCAGGGCACGCGATCTAAAGAATATTTTAGGTATTTTAAATCTTTACACCTTGGGTTACATTATTGGAGTTTTAGTAAGGTACCCTATTTTTTTTCAAAAAGATGTCACTTGGGGATAGTGTAGCTTCCAAACAGTGAAAGAATTTTTCAAATCGGTTCAGTAGTTTCGGAGCCTGTGCAATACAAACAAACAAACAAACAAATCTGTTCTCTTTATAATATTAGTATAGACTAGCGACCCGCCCTCGCTTCGATTCGGAAACATTACATTTTGCTATTGTTGTACCGTGAGTGACACCGCGGGGCAAAGCTAGTCTAAAAAAAAGTAGGCTTAGTTACTCCTTATATCATCAGCTACCTATCAGTGAAAGTATCGTCAAAATCGGTCCAGCCATTCCAGAGATTAGCCGGAACAAACAGACAGACAAAAATTGTAAAAAATGTTATTTTGGTGTATGTACCGTATATATGCATGTAGCAAAAAGCGGTTATTTCAATATTACAAACAGACACTCCAATTTCATTTATATTTATAGATTAAAGTACTTTGAACAAACGTTTAACTAGGTGAAGAAGTGTGAAGTCTAAGACCAAGTGAAGGATGCAGTGCTGTGAGTGTTAGGGCCTACCTTCGACGGCCTCGATGGCGCTGACGACGTCGGTGCGCAGCGCGCGGCGCAGGTCGGCCCGCGCCCCCTCCGGTAGAGCCTCCAGGGTGCCGCTCTCTGACAGACACAAACAACCTCCGTATTAACCCCCGACCAGAGACACTCGGTAACTTAATGCGGTAGCTCGGAGGTGACCCTCAATTACCAATAGATTTATTACAGTAAACTGGTGGTAGGACCTCTTGTGAGTCCGCACGGGTAGGTACCCCGCCTATTTCACCCGTGAAGCAGTAATGCGTTTCGATTTGAAGGGTGGGGCAGCCGTTGTAACTATACTGAGACTTTAGAACTACTATCTCTATCACTAAGTTAAGTGGCGGCATTTACTTTTTAGATGTCTATGGGCTCCGGTAACCACTTAACACCAGGTGGGCCGTGAGCTCGTCCACCCATCAATAAAACAAAAAAAATATATAATGAAGCTTGTTATGTCGTCCTTAAAGCTGTTAGTAGCCTAAATTACTGTGGGAGCACACACCGGAGTCGTTTTCCAAGGACCGTCTGTTAGCCTGCAGCCGTCTCGCTCGCTCACGTAGATCCGCATCTTTCTTCTCCTCTTGACTGTTCGCTCTCAACCACGACTCTATCTTCTGTCTCCATTCCCTGAGAAGAAGAAGCAATAACCATTTGCTAAATTTTTATCTGTTGAAATCCATTTTGCTTTATTGTACAATTCAATAAGTAGTGAATGGTAAAAGAGATCTCTTACTAAGAGAGATGTACTTAGAATTTTGATTGTATGCATTAAATTTAGTATGTAGCGGAATCTTTGAACATGATTTTGACCCCCTTCAAAATGTCAGATTAACTCGAAATTTGGTATACTTATTGAGGACCGATGACAATTCAATATTAAAAAAAATAATTGAAAAAATTAAAATTCAACTAAAAAATGAAAATAAATAATAGTTTAAAAAAACTAACAAAATATCTACGCTTTTATAGAAAATCCTACTAAAAAATAGAAAATAAATTTGATTTAAAAATAGTGTAAGAAAAAATGATTTTATTGAAAAAAAGCGTGGGGTAAAATTTATTTTCTATTTTTCAGTTGCATTTTCTATAAAAGCGTAGGTATTTTGTTAGTTTTTTTAAACTATTATTTATTTTACTTGTTTAATGACATAAGAAGGCAACTCTTGTGTTGGGACTCCTACTAGACTGAGGCATCATTACTGTCTTCATAATATCAGGTCAGTGTTTGTAGAGGGTGGTACATACTTCGGCTTGGTGAGGGGTTCGGGCGCGGGGGGCGCGGCGGGGGCAGACGTAGGGGGGACCGCGGGGGGCTCCCGCTCGCGCTCGGCGGGGAGCTCCAGGCGCCCACGGACCGCACCACGCCGGGACCACGACCGGTCTGGAAATATATCTAATATATAGAACAAGTAATAAACAATAACGATCCGATGCTTTTAAATGCTTGAACTGAATATGGCCAAGGTATGGTTGGAGCTGAACAATTCTCAATAATATGACGTAACTTTAATATGAATTTGGGTTTTGACTGTAACTCTATCAGTTTGTCCTTTTTATTTATATCGCAATTCATACTAGAAACTTCGACCTAATGTATTATTAATATTAAGCATTTCCCGGTATTTACTTTGAGGTCCGATTCCCAATTACCATCGGACACCCACGCGTCCCTGACCCATGGTTCTAACATTTATGATCAGGTGAGCTGTTGGATCGTATAACTAAAATAAAGTAACACGTCTAAATATTTTCAAAGTACCAGGTTGACATAAATGTGAGGAGCTTTGAATTCGTTCTTCCACTAAGTACTACCAACCTTTACAAACCAAAATATTCTAGTGCTAATTCAAATTTTCGAACAGGACAACGATTTTCTCAGTATATGCTGTTAATTGCTTACTGGGCCCATAGACACGGGAAAGCCCTGAATTCTTTGAGACATGGGACATCCGGTAATGGGATAGACACGACTGTTCTAGCCCACCGGGTGGAAACTTTGGTAACCCTTTCGTTTTAAAAGTTTCACTTCTATCACGCGTTACGTTAATCTAAGCCTGTGGGTATGAATCTTATGTTACCCAGGCTGCCCCACAAGGCACGCTCGGGCGCGGAGTGCTTCAAGAACTCCAACAGACCCTCTTCATCATCACCAGGGCTGGCGCGGCTGCGGCGGCGGAGGCTGCCCGTCGGTGTCACGTCTGGATGACATTCAAGACTTTAAATTCAACTAGCAAGAGACAGCTGAGTCATTTTGTTAACACAACACTGTGGTTTTATCTCATGACCGGACCGGTTCTCATTAAGGGTAGGCAGTGACTTGGCTCTGCCCCTGGCATTGCTGAAGTCCATGGGCGACGGTAACCACTCACCATCAGGTAGGCCGTATGCTCGTCTGCCTACAAGGGCAATAAAAAAAAAGGTGCTAAACGTGGAACTTACCAGGTGAAGGAGAGGGGTCTCTTGGTTTCCGTAAAGACCGCCTGCCTAGACCGTTCCTAATGTCCAACAATAAGGACTCCATAAGTGACTCGCAATCGGATACTGGAGTTGAGCAGACGCTGCTACCTGTTGGACAGGAAAAGTTGTTTAGGTTGTCGCTAGTTGTATCATCAGTCTGTAGGATGAGTGAGGAGCTGACTGAATTATTGGTAATAGTAACGCGTACTGAGGAACAAATATCATGGTTGAGTCGGTGATACAAATCTATAATCAATGTGTCAAGTGCCATCTGTACCTTTTAGCCCTTTGTAATTTACAGAATCCTCAATATACTTCCTTGAACAGCTTGGGAATCCACTTTCTGATTTTTTTATTAGGTATCCTCACATATCTGTACTTTTATTATAGAAATTTTAAAACGGTCAATGAACCGGTATTACCAGCACCTTATTTTAATAGTACAATGCTAGAATGTTCCTCTGAAGTACCAAACTCAACTACCTCTTCGGTTTGTTAAAAAAGTTCAATTGAAGTCCCACCAAGTTTCACCAAGAGATTTATTGAAGATTATCAGAAGACCCAAGATAGAGCAAATGTTGGAGTTATCAATATACGTAAATGTACAAAATGTTTATGTGGGTATGTTTGTTTATTCGTGAAATATGCGTTCGTGCACTTTATTCGCTTGAGTTGCCTTATGTAATTTTGCTATCGTGGGAGGCTTAAACGACGAAGGGAAAGATCTTCCACCGAGCGGGTGATATTGCTCGGTAGACCGACGGTCCAAATGTTGTTATTCGGAACTTGTATATATGCAAGCTTGTTTTGAAAATGTCGTAAGCGAAATTCAGGCATCTGTCAAATATCCCGCGCTGCATGACGGCCTCCCGCCACAGCTATTTCAGAGTAGATTATTGTCACAACCATCCGCAACAGATGGCACACGAGTACTGTCATTGAATGTGATATAAACTTTATTGCCAAACATTTACACAAAATATTATTTTAATAACCTAAAAGTACATATTATTATCCGCAACACGCTTCGTCAGATCATAGAAACAGAGTTATCAGCAACATGCTTCGTCCAAAAGTACAATACAACTTACTTTCAACTACAAGCGTCGTCATATCATTGAATTGACTTATTTAGTTTGATTATCACTACATAGTATAAAACAAAGTCGCTTTCTCTGTCCCTATATCCCTATGTATGCTTAAATCTTTAGAACTACGTAACGGATTTTGATACGGTTTTTTTAATAGATAGAGTGATTGAAGAGGAAGGTTTATATGTATTATAACATCCATTAAATAGTGGAGAAATCAATAATTAATTACAGTTTCCGAAGCGAAGTGAGGGCGGGTTTTGTGACAATTACAGGTTGTGTAAAACGGGTAGAACATGCGTATGTATATGCCGGATGTCGTGATACATACTGGTCTTAAGTTTGTGCGTGGCGAGGCTGAGGTCGCGGGCGCGGCGCCGGGCGGCCGCCTGCTCGTCGTGAGCGCGGCGCCGCACGTTGTCCGCAGCCGCCGCGCGGAACCGCGTGCAGAACGTCACGAATATCTGCGGCGGGAGGAGGTGGCAACTACACTTGGGCACGTGGAGGGTGAGTGTTCAGTAGGGAGTGCCCCGGACGTCGACGCCGGGGCTCTTGTCTTTTTCTTTAACTTTTTATTTATTTATTGCTTAGATGTGTGGACGAGCTCACAGCCCACCTGCTGTTAAGTGGTTACTGAAGCCCATAGACATCTACAACGTAAATGCGCCACCCACTTTGAGATACAAGTTCTAAAGTTTCAAGTATAGTTACAACGGCTGCCCCGCCCTTCAAACCGAAACGCATTACTGCTTCACGGCAGAAATAGGCAGGGTGGTGGTACCTACCCGCGCGAACTCACAAGAGGTCCTACGTAAACTATATAACTATGTTTTATATATACTATGCTATATAACTATGCCTTTGGTTCTCACGGTGAATACCTACTAGTTTGGATTCAGGATTTTTTTATGAGGGATTACTGGTGGGCCGGTGGCCTCTCCAGTTTCACCAGGACAGGCAGGCGAGCAAAGGCTCAGCCAGGTGGGCTGGGATTAGCTAACATATGCCCGAGCGCCTCCGAAGGAGACCTAGCAACTCTAGGACAGCTGTTTCGCGAATCAATCTATTACCGAATCGGAGTCGCGATTCGCTGAGAAGATCCGGGGAGAAACTCAGCGGACTGATTCATGGGTTAAGTTCGGCGAGTACGGTTATAGAATTCAGGTGTCCGTGTGTGACTTTTCCCAGTTAAAACTGACTGACTGAAATATCTTAGAACACGGTACGATGCCAATGCTGAAGTTGTTTAAAAGAAATACCTAGCTGGGCTACAAGGTCGCGTAACTAAAGACCTTAAACAAATAATTTGACTACTCTCAATATTAGTCCTCTATCAATTCTGCACCTACTTCATGTCTCAAGGTGGGCCGCGGCTTGGATTAAGTTATGACCGACGGCTCCGGTAACCACGTAATATCGATTGAATTGTGAGCAAAAAACAGATTAATAAAAAAAACTACGAAATACAAAATAAAAATTAATGTCTCAAAACAATGGCTAACGTAGAGAGCTTACAGCATAAGAAATGGGCCACGTGCTAAAAGACTATTTTTTTTATTTTTATTGCTAAGATTGGTGGATGAGCTCACAGCCCACCTGGTCTTAATTGGTCACTGGAGCCCATAAACATTTACAACGTAAATGCGCCACCCACCTTGAGATATAAGTTCTAAGATCTCAGTATAGTTAAAACGGCAGCCCCACCCTACAAACCGAAACGCATTACTGCTTCACGGTAAAAATAGACAGGGCGGTGGTACCTACCCGTGCGGATTCACAAGACGTCCTACCACCAGTAAAGAGAGGGCTTTATACTAATACTACTAATACTACTATTACTTTATACTAATACTAACCACCACGCGACTTGGGACCAGAGGAACTGAACACTCCACCCCACCAAAATTATTTTGTTTCCCCTTATGACGTCATCTTATAATGCTACTAAAAGATGAGGCGTTTCTAAAAGGCCTACTTACCTTAAAGCATTCCTCAAGTTTGAAGGACACGGAGTCTTCGCAGAAGAACTCCGCCAGCTGCTTCCGGAGGGTTTCCACTTCCTCCATATCTTTATTCAGTACTGATATTTCTTGTTCAGCGACCTGGAAGTCACCACACTACATCTCAACGCGTCGTCAAATCAAAATAAATAAAATTACTTTTAGCCTCCGTAAACCAGAGCCCATGAACATCTCCGCATGACTACCGCCGCCGAGCCATGAGCTATCTTTTGACATATGGCAAATGTCCATTCATTTAGTTGGTTATGTTCAGGTATTATTAAAATGTAATTATTTTTAGGATGGATGAAATATGGTTAGATTTGGTTTTCGCTAACGGACCCCACTGGCGGTTGTTGGATAGCAAGAACCTCTGCGAGCCCCTGGGCTGCAGCAAAGGATACTTGCATGACGACATTATAAACCTTCATCAACATCATCATCATCATCAGCCGATAGTGGTCTACTGCTGGACATAGGCCTTTCCAATTGCACGCCACTTATCACGATCCTCGGCTTCTCTCATCCACTGGTGGTAGGACCTCTTGTGAGTCTGCACGGGTAGGTACCACCACCCTGCCTATTTCTGCCGTGAAGCAGTAATGCGTTTCGGTTTGAAGGGTGGGGCAGCCGTTGTAGACCTTAGAACTTATATCTCAAGGTGGGTGGCGCATTTACGTTGTGGATGTCTATGGGCTCCAGTAACCACTTAACACCAGGTGGGCTGTGAGCTCGTCCCCCTATCTAAGCAATGAAAAAAAAAACAGCTTTTATCTTAATAGCTAATCATACATCTTACATAGTTATCAGTATAGAAGCGAATTTAACTTAAAAATGACTTTCGTGTGAGAATAAGGCACCTTTAGAAACTCTCCCATCTGCCGACTAATATCAGGCTGGGTGGTTGGCAACAAAATATCCTTCTTCAGCACCCCGATCCTGGTCTCTAGGGTCTTGATCTCGTTGTGGAGTTGTTCGACTGATGCCTTAGCGGCTTCTTCCAAAACCCGCGTGTCATCCGCGAAATGTGTCAGTTCTTTATTCTTGCGCTCTGCTTGCTGGAGGAAAGGAAGAGTTCGTATGAACCTTAATATAGTTTAGGTAGGCAGCGGCTTGGCTTTGCCCCTGGCATTGCTGAAGTCCATGGGCGACGGTAACCACTCACCATCAGGTGGGCCGTGTGCTCGTCTGCCTACAAGAGCATTAAAAAAAGTAGATAGCGAAGCAGGCCGTAGCCAGAAAGGGAAGATTAGCGAGGGGAGATAAAGAAAAACACGTCACCTCAATTCGCACAACTCACCAGCGCCACATAATGCATGAGAGTGATTCCAGGCTTGTTCGCCCTGATGTCCTGTAGCTTCTGAAGTGAGGACAGCTTAACACCGGCCGCGCCGCCCGCATAGCCACCAGCGTTGAGGAAATTACCAGCTATTAAAGCTATATACAGCACCTCCTGTAAATAAATAAAAAGCATTTTGAGAAATGATAAAATCGAAATCGTAATCTGCGGTTTATCCTTCTTCTTCTTTTTGCTTCGGTTTCCGCAATACTGAGGGTCGTGACCACCTCCTCGCAACAAGAGTTTATTACGGACCATTCCACGCCATTTGCTTCTATCTGCCGCCGAGTGTAGAGCATCATGAACCGTGGTGTCGAGGGTAGTGCGGATCTGGTCAGTCCAACGTGTCGGGCCTCTACCTCGTGGTCTTCTTCCGTTCACCTTGCCAGTCACCATTAGCTTTTCCAAGCTGCCGTGATCCTTTCTTGCAATGTGGCCAAAGTATTCCAGAACTCTACGTAGGCAGATGGTAGAAAGCCTCGTCTTTATCTGGAGTTCTGGAGGATCGACACGTTGGTACGATGTACTGTCCAGGGTTTATCCTAAATCTTCCAAAGTCTTACCTGTAGTGCTCTTGAAGACATGAGGTCATCTCCGGCAACCAGGATTGCGTTGATGGCGCTCTCCAAGTAACCAGTAGTGGACGGCCATTCCTCTTTCAGCAGCATGCATTCTATACGTAACTTGTAACTGTAACAAAAACGCGATGTATTTTGTAAAGTTAGCTATTTATTATACATGATCCTTAGCGGAGATGTGGTATCTGGTAATAACTGGTATGAATTAATTAACCAACCAATAAAACTAACCAATAAAAAAAATTGCTCTCTTATTCAGAGAGATTTTTTTGTACATTTTTTTGAGCACTATGTATTTTTTCGTGTTAGTGTTTGGTGGTTATTAGAGGTCACTTTAAAACATGAGATCGAAGTTCTTAATATATTGACAACGGCCATCGTAGGTACCCTATAAGCCAACACGTGTGACCGCTTCATTCATTTCATATCTAACAACTCCTCATAGCATAGTATTGTGCATTAAGTTAATACAGAAGGCTCAACTTACTTGGGTACTTGTATCAGTTGTAGCAGAAACTTCTCCGCGTTCCCGAGCTTTGTGACGTCACCGGAGAACGCTTTAAGCATCTCGCACTCGTCTATTTCGGGTAGTATCTTCAAAAGTCCACGAAGCTTTTCCGTGCCGATATCGTCATGAGAACCTTCTCTAATTAACTGTATAATATCTTCATTGGAACTGAAAAGATACATATTATGTTTACTAGTGGAGATAAAGGTAAGAACTTTTAAGTCTATATTGCTTTATCAGCGATGGGCACACGTTTATCAACAGACAAGATGGTGGTAAATCTTTTTTTTTTATACCTATGCTGATAGCCTTGATAGGCTATTTCAGCTTCACCCTAACGTGTGTAGGTGAACTCACGGTGCTCAAACCCGAGTGTTGTTAACATAGACCCTAGCAAGAGCAGTGCTTCGCAGAATCTATTACCGGATCCGAAACGCGACCCACTGAGAAGATCCGGGGAGAAACTCAGTGGGCTGTGTCTGAGGGTTAATTCGCTCGTCGAGCCCTTCGTCGCAAGCGACGGGTTCGACGAGGACGGTGACCGGTGCTTGTGGTGCCTAAAAGCACCGTTAGTGGAAGTAAATCTTTAAGATAGCCCAGATATCTTCAGCCACTACCAGTTGTCCTATTCATCATATATAATCACCTTCGGAACTGCTTTAAGAATATGTTGACGTTAAGGCTCCTCTTGCCGTCGAGGAGCGTGATCTCGGAGGACTCTTTCCTCGGTTTCTTTTCTCCGGACGCGTCGCAGATGGGGCTACGGCCCAAGCGAGGCGACGACCCCGCCGAGCCGGTCGGTTGAATCTAGGACCATACAAATTTATAATGGGAATTACTAAATTTATAACTAAGCAGAATGATATGGATTATTCTGCTTAAATAAATATGGACTTTTATTATAAATCGTGACACAAAGTCACTCTCATGTCCTACCGAACTGATCATCATTAAATTGCAAAGAGGAAACAGATTCTAAAGATTAATTTAAGAGTTTAAACACCATTTAACGACCGACCTCTTCATCATCAGCTCATATTAATCTACTTCACCATTAAGTATAGATACTATTAAAATGCTGCAATACTTCAATCAGTCCTGCCTTCGAAAGTTGATTTCTCTCATTCATTCTTTCACGCTTGCTTCAGCGCCAGTCCACATGACCATGTTCTCTCTCACCTGTTGACAAAATAGATCTTCTATTTCGTTCCAGTCCAACTCTGTTTTCGGTGAGTGTTTGTGACTTGTCGCTACTATTGACCAGATGTTGTTCTGTCCCACCACCTAAAAGAAAATAGATTGAAGGTATTAAGTTGCAAGCAAACACTAGACGTTCGGAAATGCTTGGTTCACAATTTCCTTACCTTACTGTTAGGTATTTTATTCCAATTAATAGTTTTCATTTTGGTTTTAGGCAGAGGGGTTTCTTGTTGGGGCAGCTTTAGGTCCATTACTGGAGCTGGTGGAATAGGAGCGGATGGAGCCGATAGGGGAGGTGGGACTGGGGGAGGTGGCGGTCCACACGGCGGAGGCGGTGGTAGCATCGGTGCAGGTGGTGGTGGAATACCTAAAAATAATATATTCCAATTGAAGCTTTATTCTAAATTCTTTATTTTACTAACGCCACCAGAGAATAGAGATCTGACCTCTAAAGATCTACTGACCGCAAGACTTAGTCAATCTTTTTATGGCCCTTGACGAACACATAGCCCACCTGGTGGTGAATGGTTACCGTCGTCTATAGACGTCAGCAGTGGTAGGGGTAAAGTTAGGCCGCTGCCTATAATGTAAATATCGTATTCTTTCTAGAACCTCACATTGTGATAGCGCAGATTATTCACCAAAATCTATTTTGCTCAATAGGTATAATCTTGAGTACTTTTAAATAATGATGGGGAAACTTAAGTCAAAGCTCAGTTAATCAGTTGTTGTTAAATCCTTTCAGTATCATTTATCATTTTTAACCAAACTCTCGGTAATTCGAGTAAAACCCTTCTATAAAACTTTAACATATGGCTCAAGTTAGTAATAAAATTATCCCCCACTGCATCAACCTCTCTTGTCTCTCTCTCTGCCTTCAATCTTGACGCAGTTGGGGAGTCACTCGTCTTTCGAAGTCGTCGTGGCCTAAAGGATAAGACGTCCGGTGCATTCGTATGAAGCGATGCACCGGTGTTCGAATCCCGCAGGCGGGTACCAATTTTTCTAATGAAATACGTACTCAACAAATGTTCACGATTGACTTCCACGGTGAAGGAATAACATCGTGTAATAAAAACCAAACCCGCAAAATTATAATTTGCGTAATCACTGGTGGTAGGACCTCTTGGGAGTCCGCACGGGTAGGTACCACCACCCCGCCTATTTCCGCCGTGAAGCAGTAATGCGTTTCGGTTCGAAGGGTGGGGTAGCCGTTGTAACTATACTGAGACCTTAGAACTTATATCTTAAGGTGGGTGGCGCATTTACGTTGTAGATGTCTATGGGCTCCAGTAACCACTTAACACCAAGTGGGCTGTGAGCTCGTCCATCCATGTAAGCAATAAATAAATAAAAAAGTCACGATCCTCAGTAATGAGGAGAACGAGGCAAGGAGAAGAAGAAGAAGACGACGAACAACAAAAAATATTTTGTTCCACCGTTCACTGAGAACATAATAATTTTTACAACTCTATAGATTTACTCACATGGAGGAGGTGGTGCCGGTGCTGGTGGTGGCGGTGGTGGAGACAGAGCTCTCTGAAGGCTCTGCTTCCGAGCGCCACTCGAAGAATCTCTGTGTTGACATGTGCACCCAACTTTTGCCTGGAAAGTAAAAAGACAATGTCAATGACCAGTGACAGGGCGTATGATGTGTCATTACGTGTCTGTCGCGTAAGCAGAGTGTGATCGAAACATAGCAACCCTATTTTCCTCACCGCGGCCGAAGCGGGGGAGAGGCGTGGACTTTCGAGATAAAACGACTTGCAGCAATGAAAAATGCATAATCACTGTCAGTCCCGTAAAACTCTAGGAGCTTTTAATCCTATTAAGAAACCAGTTGTAAATACAGTCCACTTTTATTCTGATAAGCCTTGCACCCAAAATCTCACTGCAACGGTGCCAACAGCGTGTTTCTGCCGCCATGTAAGCGCCAATGCATCAGTCAATCCGATTTGGTGAGCGAGACACCCGTTAAAGAATACTATTGAAGCTTCTACCTCACTGTTCAAAGTGATCGGTGATGCCCATGTTGCAATACCTTGGCTCCGGTAAAAACGTAAGACGAGGCTCTTTGACAATCTACTAAAAACTCAGTGGTATCATCTACTACATCATGAGCTACTACTTGTCCACTGCTGAAGAACTTCTCTTATTGGGTTCCTGTTCCTTAATCTTGATTCTTCTATATGCGTTTATTACCTGAACACTTGGAGCCCTAAGTAATTTAGCAGCGTCTTCTCTCGATTCCAGGAGTGTCGCTCTGTGCACCAGGGTCTCTGCTGTGTCCCAGACTATGTCGCTGACTGCCTCCTTAGGATCTATCTTCAGTAAATGCTGCAATATGCTCAAAAATGGTATTTCTTGCGGTGTGTCCGAAACCTGTGGAATTTTCAAATAGTTCAAATAATCTAAATCTTAATTATATATCTCACTGTAAGCTATGGCAACACGATAGAGCATGCAGAAATTATTTATTATTCTTTGTTACCGTATTATTTCCTACTTAATAACACCACCCTCCAAATAGTGGATAGTTAAATAGCTAATTAAATAATTAATTAACTGCATATAATATTGTAAATGAATTAATAAATTTAACCCTAAGTACTCGAGAGGTGATTACAGCTCTCCAAAATACGTGATAATCAACAACCTCTCGAGTCCATTGGGTTCACATCGGATAGGTTGTACGCTGGTCTAATACAATTTATACAAATTTTATAAATATCTACACATAAAATTTGCAAATTAAATTTAATATGAATGCAAATCATACATGCATTCATTTCGTCCCTAATTAAATTCAAAATTCCGGTTTCTATACCTTTTTCATTTATTGCTTTGTTGGGTTGGACGAGCTCACAGTCTACCTGGTTGTTACCGGAGGCCATAGACATCTAAAACGTAAATGCCACCACCCACTTTGAGATGTGAGTTCTAAAGTCTCAGTATAGTTACAACGGCTGCCTCACCCTTCAAACCGAAACGCTGCTTCACGGCTGTAATAGGCGGGGTGGTGGTTTTTTTCTTTTTTTCATTTTTCCTAGCTATGGTCATAGCCTTGAGAGGCTATTTCAGCTTCACCCTAACGTATAGGTGAGCTCACTGGGCTCAAACCGGAGTGTTGCTAACACTAGCCCTAGCAAGAGTAGTGCTTCGCAGAATCTACCACCGGATCGGAAACGCGAGCCACTGAGAAGATCCGGTGAGAAACTTAATGGGCTGTGTCTATGGGTTAATTTACTCGTTGAGCTCTTCGTCGCAAGCGACGGGTTCAAGAAGAACGGTGACCGGTGCTTATGGTACCTAAAAGTACCGTTAATGGATCGGGAGGATCCGTAATGACGGGGTGGTACTCACCTGCTTAAGTATAGCATAAAATACGTCTAGATGCGAATTGAGATTGATTCCTCCTGGTCCCTGGGCCTCATCGCTCTCCCTCTGCTCTTCGAACACATCCAACTGCACGCTTAGATCAGGCTGGCTTGATGCTTCATGTCTGAAATGAATTATAGCTGCATAATTAGGGTTCTATTGCCTATCCAATTCAGTTTCGTGTTAAAATTATCTCTAGGTCTATTGCGCTACCAACGGTAGGAGACGGGTTGGTATTTAATACGGAAGTTACACTGATAATTGATATTCGGTATGTTTCGCTTTGTGCACAAGAAGGGCCGCGGTACACGAAGAATGGCGACGTCTGGTGAAGCGCACCACCACCCGAAGTAATGACCACGACCACTCTTCCAAGAGTGCATGCGACTGAGAAGAATGTTTGTAATTGTTGCCCGGTTATTTTCTCTTTTTTAATTCAATTCATACCAAGAAGAAAACAAGAGCTTGGGGTTGCTAAACTTGAGGGTTTTTATTTCACGTAATGGGTACTGCGATTTTGGCTACAAAAGAATTATGGTGGTGGTCTTAAGTGGTGGGCCAATATATACGCTTATTGAAACATGAACTTAGGATGCCCTAGTAGCTTCTGTATATAAGAATTATTATATCATTTATCACCGCGCAATTCAAACTGTAGTCCGCTTTGAAGTACATTTTTTTTAAGAAACTACCTTTGATGCCAAGGTAGTGCTAGAAACATTGTTTGGACGGACAATAACAACTGGAAAATCATAAGATTCATAAAAAAATCATCGCTAACATTGTTTACGACTACTAGACATGCGCTAACGAATCAATAAACAAGTGTGACTACATAAAAAACAAACATTTTTTTTTTATTGTATAAAAAAGCTATCTAGTTAATAAAAGGTTAGAAGTATTGCGTGGGATATTCTCGTTCTGACTAACATGGGCAGTGGCTCTCGACCGGTATCACTCACTTGGACAACTAAACGCTTTAGAGGTAATAATTATGTTGGACTTTATATTAAAAAGTTTGACGGCGCTATTGTGAAGCTATTTCACTTTATCGCGCTCCGAGCCGGAGTGTCACCGTTGTATATATTTAGTGCTTGGTTCTGTCATGTATGCATTGTTACACAGGAGAACGTTGTGACTTGGGGCTGAATGTGAAACGATTCATTATAACTTCCATTTCACGATTTGTATGACCGACGATATTACCAACGGCATGAAGGACTATACTGATATAAATATTATTCAAAATTTCTTTAGCCAATTAACAAACAATTTACTTCTATAGTAGCATAGCGCATACTATACAATTTTTTGGCAGCTACCAATAAACTCTGATTTTCAAATCCATTATTAGTATTTGTAACGTTTATATCATTTACGCTTGTTTTTTAAATTTAAATACACCTATACCACCACCGCCACTACCACCAATACCACCCACCCAATTCGAAACTGGTTTTAATAATGATATCCAGTCGCCATTACCGAACCACGATGCGAATGTCAATCATTTACCCTATTTAAATTTACTTTATCAATGTGTGTTCATCTCTAAACTTTTTGTAGCAATAAATAAACCTATTAAATTACGAAGGGGATATTGTGACAACAAAAAATATTGAAGCAAAAACTAAACAATGTGATTCTTTTGATTTTTTTCGATCGACTTCAAATGATTTATTGTGCCTTCACAATTAGGAAGTCAAGGAGTAAATATCTCGTGCACTATGTTGCTGATTATTTGCACGATTAGCGATTAGCGGAGAGTAAATCACGTGACCCACATTGAGACATGAGGTCTAAATCTGTGAAATTAGAATATTTGTTTCTCTCGCGAATGTTCTGTTTCGGTTGGAAACGGTGTGACGGTTATTGTACAAAATAGCTGAATAGCATGAGCTTCGGAAACCACTTACCATCAGGTGGGAAAGATACCAAAGACAAACAAGTGCAGCATCATTGTTCTTCTGTTTGTCAACTGATTTTCTTTTCTATCTTTTGTTTAGCTTTATAATAGCTATTATTATATGCAAGCTTTATATAAAAAGATACGGATAAAGTTAAGATATTTTCTTTAAATATTAACAATGTTAAAAAGATAATCGAATACATAAAATAAATCTGAGTTTTGAGTCATCATTGATTATGGTCGAATTACAAACATTCGGTAAACACTTGTACTATCCTAAAATATGACTTATACTTGTAAGTAGGAAGGATAGATGTAGATGCACAAAATACAGAATTTTTTATCTAAAGTCAAGGGCTAAAGAGTCTATTCGTGTTGAATCTGTTCTAAGCACGTGCGAGTCTTTTAGTGTTGCCAAACATATACTCGTAACATAGTATAGAACCTAATTACAGCGTTGAACAATAATCCTAACTAAAATATCAAATAACCTGTTTTTGAAGACCGGTTTTTTTTTTTCGATTGCTTAGACGTGTGGATGTGCTCACAGCCCACCTGTTGTTAAGTGGTTACTGGAGCTCATAGACATCTACAACGTAAATGCGCCACCCACCTTGAGATATAAGTTCGAAGGTCTCAGTATAGTTACAACGGCTGCCCTTCAAACCGAAACGCATTACTGCTTCACGGCCGAAATAGGCGGGATGGTGGTACCTACCCGTGCGGACTCACAAGAGGTCCTACCATCGGTAAGAATATCTTATCTTGTTCAGGAGGCTAAAGAAATAAAATTATTGCTTCGTCATCGTTCCTTGTTAGGCGTATAAATTCCCAAGTTAATCGGACGTCATCAAGTTGGTTAACTTAGTATTTATTAAACTTATTAACTTAGTATTACGTTACAGAAAGGTCAAGTTAATAAAAACGTGTCGACAACAAGGCTTTTCGTAACATTTGCCCTTATGATTAAGGAAATTAGATTGATTATTAATCCGAAGGTACTGATTTCAGGCCTTTTTGTTTCGTGCAGGGGCGGAACCTCCTACGAGATATCTGCGCCTAGGGGCGCGCGGGGTATGTGACACTTGATGCCGATGTTGGGAGCAGACCGCGGGCCCAAGGATATTTTTTAGGCTCTAACGCACCAAACGAATCCACCTTGCACTCTCACACCCGACGTCCGATCTCCACTCGAGGTTAGAAGTTCGTCAGAGGAGGGAGGTTTCCGCGGCCAACACTAAAACCAGACTGGTTTACGGCCCTACCATAAGCTACTGCCTCTCCATCATCCACCCCTAGTCCCAGTGTTCTCGCCTATTTCCCTAGCTCCTTAACTTAAGCATTGATGACACAGAGCAAACCCGTACAACCCGTGTCGCGAAGAAACAATTCATTTCAGTTTAGAACTGCCATTTTATGATCGATCGAGACTTTAGTCTAGTATCAAGATCATTTTTTCTTGCCTTTGAATACAGATGAGGGTGTAATGCCCTTGCTCCGTTGGCGGGTGGCGTGGTAGTGAAATGGAAAGGACAAAATCATCTCAATACCGCCAACCAATACCTAATTAAAGAAATTTTTTTTTTTTTTTTACTAACAATCACGCCACCTTAACTGGTCCCGTGATAAGTTCGTAAAGAACTTGTGTTACAGGTACCAGGTATCGGAAATAAATGTAAGATTTTTATTATACCCATACATATATTTAATATACATCCATAACCCTGGAAANAGTAATTACGCAAATTATAATTTTGCGGGTTTCATTTTTATTACACGATGTTATTCCTTCACCGTGGAAGTCAATCGTGAACATTTGTTGAGTACGTATTTCATTAGAAAAATTGGTACCCGCCTGCGGGATTCGAACACCGGTGCATCGCTTCAACACGAATGCACCGGACGTCTTATCCGTTAGGCCACGACGACCACATAAAATAAATCTGAGTTTTGAGTCATCATTGATTATGGTCGAATTACAAACATTCGGTAAACACTTGTACTATTCTAAAATATGACCTATACTTGTAAGCAGGGACGTCTTAATCTAGGATGGGGCCCTTGGGCACACAAAAATTTGAGGCCCTTTTGGAAAGTAAAAAAAGCGAATTATAATAACATTTTTTTACTGAGTATGACCATTTATTGTAGGTAATCAAATACAGTATGATATAATATGTCATTAATGATATTAGAATGCTGCTGGTTTTTTGGTTACGATATCGATAACGGTTTCTTTCGGGATTTCTGTTGAGCAAAATCTTCTATTAAAGGTATAGTATACGCCTTGTAAATACCTTCTGATTACTGATTTGTGAAAAAAGTGTAATGTGCCCGACAAAAATGTTTTGAGAATGAACGTGTGAGAAAAATTATCGCTCTTTCGGGGCCCCCTGAGAATGGGGGCCCTGGGCACGGGCCCCGTGTGCCCTTATGGTAAAGACGGTATTGCTTGTAAGTAGTAAGCATAGACGTAGATGCACAAAATACAGAATTTTTAATCTAAAGTCAAGGCTAAAGAGTCTATTCGTGTTAAATCTGTTCTAAGCACGTGCGAGTCTTTTAGTGTTGCCAAACATATTCTCGTAACATAGTATAGAACCTAAATACAGCGTTGAAGAATAATCCTAACTAAAATTTCAAATAACCTTTATTTGAAGACCTGTTTTTTTTTTTCGATTTCTTAGATGCGTGGACGTGCTCACAGCCAACCTGTTGTTAAGTGGTTACTGGAGCTCATAGACATCTACAACGTAAATGCGCCACCCACCTTGAGATATAAGTTCTAAGGTCTTAGTATAGTTACAACGGCTGCCCCACCCTTCAAACCGAAACGCATTACTGCTTCACGGCCGAAATAGGCGGGGCGGTGGTACCTACTCGTGCGGACTCAGAAGAGGTCCTATCACCAGTAAGAATATCTTATCTTGTTCAGGAGGCTAAAGTTATAAAATTATTGCTGCGTCATCGTTCCTTGGCAAGCGTATAAATTCCCAAGTTAATCGGACGTCAACAAGTTGGTTAAGTTAGTATTTATTAAACTTATTAACTTAGTATTACGTTACAGAAAGGTCAAGTTAATAAAAACGTGTCGACAACAAGGCTTTTCGTAACATTTGCCCTTATGATTAATGAAATTAGATTGATTATTAATCCGAAGGTACTGGTTTCAGGCCTTTTTGTTTCGTGCAGGGGCGGAACCTCCTACGAGATATCTGCGCCTAGGGGCGCGCGGGGTATGTGACACTTGATGCCGATGTTGGGAGCAGACCGCGGGCCCAAGGATATTGTTTAGGCACTAAAGCACCAAACGAATCCACCTTGCACTCTCACACCCGACGTCCAATCTCCACTCGAGGTTAGAAGTTCGTCAGAGGAGGGAGGTTTCCGCGGCCAACACTAAAACCAGACTGGTTAACGGCCCTACCATAAGCTACTGCCTCTCCATCATCCACCCCTAGTCCCAGTGTTTTCGCCTATTTCCCTATCTCCTTAACTTAAGCATTGATGACACAGAGCAAACCCGTACAACCCGTGTCGCGAAGAAACAATTAATTTCATTTTAGAATTGCCATTTAATGACCAATCGAGACCTTAATCTAGTTTCAAGAGTTTTTTTTTGCTTTTGAATGCAGTCGAGTCTCTGTGGCCCAGCTCCAGTGGCGGGTTGGATGATAGTAAAATGGAAAGGACAAAATCATCTCAATACCGCCAACCAATACTTAAGGAATATATTGTATCCATCGCAAAATTAAACGACATTCCTTGTGTAGTCCACGAAGTTCAAACGATCGTGATCGAGATTTAAAGGCAAACCGAACGGGCTCTACTGTATGTGATGTCTATGGGCTCCTGTGAGCACGGCACTCCACGTGGGCCGTGAATCATTCAATCGCAGTCGAAAACTACTATTATCTATGGCAACACTCAATCGGTGACTCAAAGCCACTGCAAAAAGCGCGAGAAACACGCGATTAATTATGCTTGGACGGAAAAAAAACCCTAATTAAAACTCTGCTTTGTTCGAAGCCGTTCAAGAGATCGAGTTGCACAGCTTGTACGCTGTTTTTTTTAGCTTAAACTTGATATTATTGTTGGTCGCCGGTGTTTCTGGGTGATTGATGTCCCTAGAGATCTTTGTCCTCAGCTCAGTTTAAGACATTACCAATGTTACATGGGGAAACGATATCTATCTATATATATATAAATGAATTGTTGTTCGTTAGTCTCGCTAAAACTCGAGAACGGCTGGACCGATTTGGCTAGATAAATATGAAAATGCTCGGAATTAAATAAAAATAACAAATTGTTTTTCCTTTGATGTGTCCCCCGTCGGACGGATTCCTTTTGTTTGTTTTAAGTTTATTTTATACAAAAGTTTAGGTCTTTTATTTTATCGATTGAGGCACCACGAAGTTTGCCGGGTCAACTAGTAATTGATATTTAGAGTTGACACTTTTTACGCATGCGCGTCGGTGACGGGCGACCATGGACCTCGTTTGACCCCACTCTTCAAACTGACACGCATGACTGGTTCCCGTTAATACCTCCAATAATAATATAATATGAATAAATAAGTAAACTTACTCACCTTAAATTATTTAATACTGATAGAAGTCCAAGTCCTGTAACATTGTGTAAAAGTTAATCAGTAAATATTGTTTATGCATTACAAAATTGAGATATTTTTTTTTGCGGGAATGGCTGAAAAGTAATTATTTAAAATCTCAAGTCTAATAGCGCTAAAAACATTGTTGAACTATGTACAATGCGCTATATGATTTTAAATAGCAAATTACATTAGAACTGTATTCAAATTTTATCTTAAAATTGTAAGGTAGGGAAATGTCAGATGAATGAATGAGTTGAAAATGAATATAATTGCGAAACAGTTGCATACGAATAGCTATAAATTAATTACTGTTTCGCAGCAGAAATAGTTCAAGTGGTAGTACCTACCCACATGACTCTCAAGACATCATCAGAACTGGTAATATTCTGGTAGTATACTTAAATTTCGCGTGATGTGATTAGAAGTGCTCAAACAATGACAATACCTATAAACTCATTCCTGACCCGGGTCCTGTCAGGAAGGCGTGGAGCAGAGATGATGAGGCAGTTGATGAAGGCTACTAATGCGGTCTTGTATTCTGTGCTCGTGGCATTTTTCAGTTCCTCCACCACCACGCTGAGCCGGTACCTCTCGTTTTTCAGCACCTTTAGCGATTTGAAAATCAGGATACATTGGCACTGATGCGCCTACCTCAAGACCTAAGTACTCAACAGCTCAATCCGAAAAAAAAGATGTAAGGTGTCGTGAGACACCGGATAGGAATGAAGTTCCCTGTTATAAAAATATTAATTTTAAGTTCTATTGGAGGTATAAAGAAAATAAAACTGGAGGTTTCGCAACAACTCACGGTCATTCGGTAACGTGCGAACTTATTGTGGTACTTATTTTAGTAGTCGTCGTGGCCTAACGGATAAGACGTCCGGTGCATTCGTGTTGAGCGATGCACCGGTGTTCGAATCCCGCAGGCGGGTACCAATTTTTCAAATGAAATACGTACTTAACAAATGTTCACGATTGACTTCCACGGTGAAGGAATAACATCGTGTAATAAAAATTAAACCCGCAAAATTATAATTTGCGTAATTACTGGTGGTAGGACCACTTGTGAGTCCGCGCGGGTGGGTACCACCACCCCGCCTATTTCTGCCGTGAAGCAGTAATGCGTTTCGGTTTGAAGGATGGGGCAGCCGTCGTTACTCTACTTGAGATTTTAGAACTTGTATCTCAAGGTGGGTGGCGCATTTACGTTGTGGATGTCTATGGGCTCCAGTAACCACTTAACACCAGGTGGGCTGTGAGCTCGTCCACCCATCTAAGCAATAAAAAAAAAAAAAAAAAAAAACACTTCATTCACGGTTGTTTGCATAAGAGTTAGTGTATTGCGCAAACGAAAGCTCTGAGATCGTGGTCAATTAATGATAAAAAAATATATTATTTTTTGTACGTTATTACAAAGTTAAGTCGTACACTGTGTGCATTACTAATAAAAATCTTACGTTACGGACGTTTTTTCCCGGTTACGGTACTCCTCCGCATCGTCCCATAAGGAACTTCGTTCCAAAAAATCCCTCCAACTATTAACTTAAATAGATTCTACTCCTATAGTAAAATATATAATTAGATGTTAGGTAAATATTTGCTACTCGAAGACTGATCATATATCTTCTTCACTCTTGTCTTCTGTGATTATGACCCTAGAGAATACAGTTTGGATCCTTTGAGGGTTAAGCGTTTCTAGCGTATTTTTCGTTCTATGACCTGCTACTAAGGACGATTAGGAATTATTAAATTAATCTGAATAACGCACACTTCATTGACTTCGGCTACATTAATGATATTCTCGTTTAATTTCGTTAAAGTCCGTTTTTCTTTTTGTTAAAATTTCATATTATTTCGTAGTAGTAGATCAATATTGACAGACTGTACCTTATATCGTTCGAGGGTGTCCACAGCTCGCGCGTAGCCATCAGAATTGTAGACGCACAGAGCCGATAGAAGTTCGAAGACCTGATGAAATATGTTAACTATGATTATAACGCAAAACACGGATATTAGCGCAACGTTTGGCGATTGTGGCCTTTTCCACTGAAACATTTGAATATGCATTGAACGGTTCGATTTAGTAGGATACATGTTACAGATCAACTAGTAGTGTCTTAGTTTAAACGCATATAGTTAGTTCGTTTTGGGTCCAGCATGTTTCGTTGCGAGAAATCGGTACGTCACAAGAATTGTCTCAGACTCTCTGGACACGCACTGTGGTTGGCGCAGTGGTTCAAACTAGCAGGGATGAACTCTATTCTGATGGTACGGTAATGAAAAGATGCCTCCTTTTTTTCAGTGTTATTCAGTGTCACGGAGTGAAGTCTGTCATATTCAGTTAAAAGAGTGCTCAGTTTTGTATAGTTTATTAATACTGTTTACTGTTTCATTTTTAATATTAATTATAAAGGAGACTAAGGGCTTTAAATATTGTTTTCTTACTATATAACAGAATACGCAATTAAGCCTTTTATTGTTTGTTCATTCTGAAATACTCCGTATTAATAAGTTACCCTTAATAAATTTCCTTTGTTCGTGTATAGCTAAAAATATTGGCTGCATATTATTAATCCTATTTCTATGTTATAGTTGTCGTAAAGATAGTTGTTATTGTAGCTACCTGCTTCTTGACAGGAGCCGCGGGCGAAGACAAGGCCGCAGCTAGTTTTGCTGCGTATTCTGCGTGCTCCACAATATAGTCGAGACCAACGCGACTCTCCATCGTGGTTCTGAAACAATTTTATCTTTATTTTTATTTTATTTTACTTTATTTATTGGGTACCAACATGTTACACATCAGCACAGAACATTACAGGTATCATATACATTGATATCACACTAAATGCTAACACAATTACAGGTACCGACGGTTCGTTGTATAAAAAAAACAAAAAAAAACTATATACATATAACATTACATGAAGACCTTAAATTATTACACATTTACTACCAAATACGCTATTACTTAATTTAAAAAGCTCATTGAGCAAGGTTGTAGACTTTTCGTCTAAAACTGAAATATGTTATCAGAAACTTCATAAAGGAAAAAGATGAAAATTAGTTCTAATATGAAAAAAACCAGTCTACCACAGTAGGTATTGGTAGTTAGGGTTAGAAGTGAGCAACCTCACGATGCGCTGCTAAGGCATTATTAATAATTACTAGTGGATGCACGGTGGTCGAAATTCGACCTTAATTAATTTAAATTATAAGTTTGAACATCGTTTAGGTTCTTGTCAAAGACTATACATACATACTTCTATAAGCACAGATTTCACCAAGGCTACACTATAGACAAATAATATTAAAGGCAAACAATACTAATCAATTCTATTATTTTTTTCCTACATATTCTAGTGACCTCGAGGGGTTAAGATTCACCGAGCTAGCAGGTGAGCTCACGGGACTCAAACCGGGAGTGTTGCTAGCACTGACCCTAGCAAGAGCAGTGCTTCGCAGAATCTACCACCGGATCGGAAACGCGAGCCACTGAGAAGATCCGGCGAGAAACTCAATGGGCTGTGTCTATGGGTTAATTTACTCGTGGAGCTCTTCGTCGCAAGCGACGGGTTCGACGAGGACGGTGACCGGCCAATCCTCAATTACACCACAGACTTTATTAATCAATTCTCAATTTGACCACAGACTTTAACAATAAACAAAAGAGTATGCGTACGTGTGTCAAATATATACTAGTGTGTGTAAAGTTTTATTTATTGATTTAATGTATTTTTATGCATAATTCTAAAAAGAGAACAGCATTTTGCACTCCTCCCTCCATAAGTGTGGGAAATTTTCGTCCGCGTAATTTTCGTAAAAAGGGGTACAAAATTTTTGCTTCACGTATGAATATATAGATTAATAATATTACTGCCGCTTCAAAATACATATTCACATATTTCAACGAAAACCACGTAATATCTAAACAAGATGCCGGCTTAAATGATTTTCATTAAATAAATTACCATAACTAATAAAACAACCGTGGGAATATCAAAATGAAATTTCTAAGAAACGAACTGGTCGTGAGGTGTGATTTGCGCGATACCATCTGCCATACTGATTTCGGCTGCACCTGGTACAATTTCTATCTAATATCCGAAGGCGTTGCACAATACAATTGGAATTTCAAATCAAATCAAAATGAAAATAATTTTTTTTTATTCAACCAAAATGAAAGTACATACTTATTGAACGTCAAAAAGAACTACCGCCAATTCACAAAAACTAGCCTCCGTCCTGAGAAGAACTGGCAAGAAACTCAGCGGGCATGTCTTTTTTTTTTAATTATAGATTTTTTTTTAAATATTCATTTTTATAACGTAACAATTATTGCAATATTGAAATGCCTGGAGCGAGCAACTCATTCCCGCTTTGTGCAATCTTCTAGATAATCATTGACTTTATAGTAAGCTTTATTGCACAGATGTTCTATAATAGTTTTCTTAAGCCTATGTATGTGTAGGTTCTGAACGTCTTGTGGGATTTTGTTGTACAGGCGCACAGACACACTTCGACCTCATCTCGGAAATCAGATTGTGATTTACACCCAAACAACCGCTAAATACAGTATTAAAACTGTTGACACGAATGTAGATGTCACGAAAACCGGACCTACGTAATTTGATATTCACAGTTTAGAAATAACGCGTACGAATTATATTTAAAAGGGTGAAAATTTCCTTTATTAGTCTAGTTTTGTTTGGTTACGTGATCAACAAATTTCGACGGCTGTTCAGAGTTCAATAATTTCGAAATTTCGACTTATGGTTATGCCTACTGCGTTTAGTTATATTGGAGTCCTCGCTAGTGTTAGGACCTCTTGTGAGTCCGCACGGGCAGCAGCCCCTTTTTTTTCGGGCTGGGGGCCGATCCTCCTACGAGGTCCCCGTGCCTAGGGGGCACGTGGGACTTCACGATCTGCAAGGTGTTGGGAGCAAACCGCGGACCCAAGGAATTTTAGGGCCCTACCCACTAAACAAATCCCCTGCACTCTTCGCCCAAGCGTTGCTCTATTATCAATACTCCTTGACAGCGCGCTAGAATGCTGGTAGCGCGCCGCGCGGCCTCCACCCCCTCAGGTCGCCCCTTGACCTTCACCGGGGGGAAGCCGCCACCTACAGGGACCGAGACGTACGGGCGTATCCCTTATTTATTTTTTATTTTTTAGTTGAATTTCAATATTTTTTTTCAATTTTTCAAAAATTTCATTTGAATCAGTCGGTAACTTATCCGAGAAATAGGTGATCGGCGCGCTTGGTATTTTCCATTCTTGGTCTTGACGCAGGCACTCCGGGTCTCAGGAAAACCAAAAACCGCTAATCCTGATTATCCTAGTAAGGATAACGGATCAAACTGTTTAAAATATTGAACTGTCATAGGTTCTTAATAAGTATGCCAAATTTCGAGTTAATCCGACGTTTTGAAGGGGGTCCAAATTCAAAGATTCCGTTACATACTAACATACATACGTCTGAAGCTAATAAAAGCGCATTAAAAAAGATAAAAGAAATCCGAAAAAAATAAGAAGATACAAATATCACATATTATTATGTTCTATTTAAGAGCCAAACAAGCTTCAGTTATTAAAATACTCAAACCTCTGTTTACTTCCCAAGTTTTCTTTCACTTCCTTCTGTTATTTCAATACGAGAAATCCGTCTTGTGTCTTTAGAATATTTCGAAACTCGATTAGAATTTGTGAAATTTGTCTTTGGCTAATCCGGCGTTGGTTGTCGTCCTTACAACGTAACCGAGTTAGAATAATGACAAGTATAAATGTGTGCTTTAAAATACGAGAGGAAGCGTGCTTAAATTAAGATAAACTATTATCAATATTGTCGTCCATAATTATTATAAAATATTTTTTGTGTATCTCAGGAATGTGGACAAGATAGGACTATTATAACAAACTACATTATTATTTTAGCAACGTTTCGGTCTTTTATTAGACCTTCATCAGGCATCTGAAAATTACACATAATTGATAACCTAAAATATAAAAAACAACAATTGTCGAAACTACCATATTTACCATAATATGAATTTAAATAATCCCTATCTTACACTGCACAATTGTCTCAGACATCAGAGACTAATACAAATCTACAAAGCCGCTAAATTATTTAATTACTAATTAATTAAGATAAACGATAAATGTTTCCCGTGTCGGTGAGCGTTCTTTTAATACTGTCATGGGCAGACTAGCTAACAGTCCACCTGTTACTATGTGGTGACGGAAGCCACATCACGTCAAAAGAGAATGCAGACTGCTATTGTTGACTAACTTAAATAATACGTCTTGCATTTCGATTAGTGACACAAATTATTAGAAAAATATCGTAAAAAAAAATATAGTTATTGTATAATCGTTTTAATCTAAGCAGTATTTTTTTATTGCTTAGATGGATGGACGAGCTCACAGCCCACCTGGTGTTAAATGGTTACTGGAGCCCATAGATATCTACAACGTAAATGCGCCACCCACCTTGAGATATAAGTTCTAAGGTCTCAGTATAGTTACAACGGCTGCCCCGCCCTTCAAACCGAAGCGCATTACTGCTTCATGGCAGAAATAGGCGAGATGGTGGTACCTACCCGTGCGGACTCACAAGAGGTCCTTCCACCAGTAAATCTATCTGTTTAGTATCTTTTGTAAATAAAATTTAGATTGTTTTTTATCTGTGTCCGATTGCATAATGAACAAATATGATTTTTTTTATTGCCCTTGTAGGCAGACGAGCATCCGTCGCCCATAAACTTCAGCAGTGCCAGGGGCAGAGCCAAGCCGCTGCCTACCGATACTATACCGTAATGATAGTTTTTTGATAGGCCGCTTTCGCTTGCATCTTGCACCACTTACAGTCGGTATGGAGGCATACCTGCCAGCCCACGCGCTGTGCTAGGGCCGTTTGTCTACCGCAAGGTTACAGGTACAACCTTATCATGGCATTTGTGGAGTTACGGGTCTTAGATAAACAAATACCTTGGCTCCGATATACCATAAACAATGCGGTCAATAAAAGGAATTTAAAAATATTGCTGTAGAGAAGTGAGCCCTTTCAAAGGTACCTAATGCAAGTTTTGACCTCATATATCTCAAAATCGATTAGAAGACGGCGTTATTGCGGTATGGGCGGGTGCTGAGTCTACGGGAGACTCCGAGAAATGATAAGGTGTGCCTTTGTATTGTTAATTGTTACGCGCTGGGGTTCAGGATAAATAAAATTGCACCGAAATATAAATTAAAAACTTTATTCAACACTTAAAACACTCAACAAACACTTTAAAACTCTCAATTCGCTTCTTCCGCTTCGCTTCATTTCGCTTCGAGTAGTTCCGATTACTGACTGCGTGCCATCTCTACAACGCTTTTATAACCGATACCACATCCCTAGAATTATCGAGAATATTCCACACATTTCGAGTATTATGTTTCCGTTATCTGACAATAGATATCGTTGTACTTCTCGAGTGTTCTAGGTGCTACTAGATCCTTCGATATTCATTCGACTTTACAGCGATAGACGGCGTTACTCTTACCGGCGTAACTATTCAACTTTCTTAGGCCCATAATATCAATTGTAGTTTAAACTAAAATCGAAGGTTTAAACTGTCACTGAAGATTAATTCGTAGTTTCAACGAAAGTTAAACTCCCCTGCAGAGTTTAAGCTCTCGCAAAGCTTAAAGGGCCATGAAGGAGTGTTTAAATCAAGAGTTGGGTTTAAA